AGTTAACTTTTTTTTTTCCCACTGGCCCTAATCCTCTTCCTTACATATTAAAATTCACTGGAGTTTGTTTTTTTGGTTTGTTTTTAGGGAATGTAAGTAACAAAATGTAAAAGAAAAGGTAAAACGGTGTGAATACTTTTGCAGGAAAACTGTATGCAGCCTTCTTTATTAGAAGAAATATTTGTGTTTCACATTAGGAAAAAAAATAACGTTTTCTCTGCCCGGGTGGTTATAAACACCTGCTGGAAAACAAGTCAAAACAGAAACTAATATTAAAGGGAAAAGTTTTAGTAACCTTCAGAAAGCCTGGTGGACTATTGATCTGATCTACTCTAAAATTTATAGGAAACAAAATACAAAGTAATGAAGTGTGCCTCAGGCTGTCTACATAATACAGTTTAGAAAGGAAAAAGCTTAACTGTATTCAATAAAGAGTGAAGGGGGTGTGACATGGCTGCTCGTTTTGATGAGAGCTCGCTCTGTTTTCAGCCTGCTATGCTGCTTTTAGCCTTGGGCTTGTTTTACTAAACCCAGCTGTCTACAGGTTAATGCCTCCATCTGTTTTTCACCAATTCATAAATAATATAAGGTAGCCTGATTGTTTGAATAACACATATAAACATGCTCAGCCTCCTGGACAAATCCAGATAATCCGAGGAATCAAGATGAGGACTCATCTTCTCAGGTGAGTCGCTGCTGTTAAAATAAAAATGTAATTATGAATTATTTGGTATTTTTCTCGCACCTTTTATGCTTTCTAAAACTGTCAGATATGTCAAAGATTATCAATATTGGCCTAACATAAAGAAAGCTCAGCCTGTTTTCATCATTAACAACCACAGCTGAGTGTCACAAGCCAAGTGAGAGTCCATTAACATGCTACCTGCCTCACCTGTGGCAGTTTCTATAGAAACACACATGAGGGTGGAAGATTTTGCACTCACCTTTGAGCTTTGGTAAACAACAGGAAGTTCCCTGGTGAATAAACTGCAACCTGGTGCATTAATCCCCTCGCTGCGCTCCAGCCTGCTGGAGACATGAGATGATCTTTTGGGCGCAGGACATTTGACTTTCAGATAGAGAAAAAGGCTTGTTAGGAGGAGACACGTACAGGAGGGCCCGGAGGTGGCTGAGATAGGACTGGGCATGTTCTTGAACACGGCTTCTCCCCGGAGGTCATTTAGCATCCCCATTAACATCAACCTGCATGGTGCTCGCAGGCGGCAGACACGGTAAGAGCAAATGATCGACTGGGCTGGTCAGCGAGGCTTCAGAAAACGCTGCAGGGAGTTCATTATGGCGGAAAAAACTAAGCTAAACTTTGAAATGTAAGCAGAGCTTTACAAAACAAACACTGTTAGTGTGGATGTGAAAACAGAAACATGAACGCCCCAAGTTTCCATGAAGTGAAACTGTTTAGAATACCAAATTTAGGCTTATATGTCTTGGTAATGATGCACAGAAAGTCTTACAATCAATCCACCTTTATTCCAGCAGCTGAATCTCACACTAATGATAACTTTTTTATCTGTATACATTTATTTGGTGAAGCAATCCCCATATTTCAACTAAATCACCAGTAGCACCATTACCGGTACCTCTAAATCTCTCTTAATACACATGCAACTGAAGCATTTGTAGAAATTGTTCTTGACCTTGATTTGAAGTTGATTTCCAGAGACTTCTAATGAGTTTTCAATAAAATGTTTCCCTGAGATCTGCAGCAAATAGATGGATCCTTAGTTAATCCTGTCTCCATAACAACCAGGAGATGCTATCTACATGCAGAAAAATGGCCTTTTCTGTCATGTCACTAACCTACTCATGTACAGTTTTCCGAAACTCTAATTAGTCAGATACGTATTAGCCTTTTACACAGCTAAATGTATCAGTAGGTGAGATGTGGACTGTTTCAACATCAGGATATGTAAAAAAAAAAAAAAAATGTCACTATTTAGCAAAAAAACAACAACTATACACTAATGAGACTAATAAACTCTGATAAGTAGAGATTGTGGTTCTCCTTCTCTATTGTCTCATTATTGAGTGTTTGATGAACCAGTTATACAATCTATACATTCTTCTCCCATATGAAGCCCTTAACAACCAAGAGGTTGGAAATAGTCGGGGTCGCTTCCAAACATTGCCTAAGCTCTGGAACCCAGCTCCTAGAGACACAGCAGATTTTCTTCTACTCTGGGGAGGAGGCATAGGGCTGAGGTTGGGTTTGCTTGTCTCAGCCACCAAGTGTTGCAGTTTACCATGTTGGTCCTTTTGCCTTCGGGAAGGGGGGGGTCTCTCATGGTTGTTTCGACCAACGGACCAAATGGCTGTATGGATGGAGTATGGAGTACCAGGCCAACACTGAACCCAAGAGGTGTTTTATCACTGGACTTCTGTCCAAGTCATGGATTGTCCATAATAAACAGTATTCAGGATGTCCATAGCAGGACACCGTAGGCCGGAGATTGATGATCGACTTAGTAGTAGTATCCTCCGACTTATGGCCACATATCATGGACACTCAGGTAAAGAGAAGGGTGGAGCTGTCCACCAATCAACACCACAATGGGGTGTGTTGGATACACTGGAAGAAGAGGAAGCCAGACAGACTCGACAGGGCCAAGCAAGTAGTTAGGGTCTGCTGTGAACGTGTGGTGGAGTCCTTTGTCAGGGATGTATTTAACTCTCACCACCAGGACAGCTTTTCCCAGTTTCCAAAGGAGGCCGAACACATGGAGTCTAAGTGAACCATAGTCTCTGCCTCTATACACATGTGGCTGCCCATAAATGTGGCCATAATGTCTGTGGTGCCTTTGGTGAGAGATATGGCCAAACCTGGTGGTGGACACTGTTAGTAAGGGATGCAGTAAGCTGAAGACGGAGTCCTATTGTCTTCATTTGGCCTGTTGGACTCATGAGCAGCAAGCAGGTATTGTTAGGCCATTTGTGCCTCTGCTTGCAAGTTTGGAGATGCCATTAAGAAGGACCATCAGTCTGCCTCAAAGAAATTCTGGCAATCCGTCCAACTTCTCCCGAGTGGGAAGCAGAGCCTTTATAATGTTTTGAACGGGAGTTCAACCACCCATCACTGGTACTCTGGATGTGAGAGAAACACAGGTAAGTGACCACGATCCTCTGACAGGAGACGATTATCAGAGTGAGTCACTTACCTGGTTTAACAGTTCAATCCATCACCTTTTAAAGAAGTGCAATCCAGCTGATGGGCTGCCGAGATGCAGCATGCGCCGCCCAGAGTGTCCCAGATGCTGCAGCCCCAGAGAACATGCAGGAAGCCGATACAGGTCAGGGGAAAACAGATCAGGCAGGAACAGTTCAGGAATCCAGGAGTTCTCAGCCTGATCAGAGGTTCCAATCCAAACAGGAACAGAGGGATCCAGGCTTCAGGGAATCTTCAGAGTGTGAAGGCAGGTACAGATGCCAAGACAAGCTGGCTCAGTGGTAGAGCGGAACTAAGACAAGAAATTGTTCCAGGATAAATGCCGAACTTTAAACTGGTTTCCTCATAGGACCCAGGCTTATGGGAATCAAAACTGACCTCCCCCGTGTTCCGAGTCAAAACCCTGAGGGCTCAGCGGAGAAGGACCAGAACCCGCACTCCCCCCATAGGCAAGCCAAAACCCTAAGGGCTCAGAGAAGAGCCAGGACACGGACAGGAGACAAAAATTAAACCCTCTCAATCCACTGGCTTTCCAGAATCAGCTCATGAAACAGAAACTTGACTAAAGCTCGCGAAACAAACATAAATAACTGACATGAATAAACTAAGAATACACAAATAATGTTCTGGCCCTGATAGCTGGGCCGATAGCTATATATAACAGAGGAAGCAGGTGAATAAGGTGACTGATAATTAGAAAACAGGGAGGAAACGGCAGGTGAATGAAGTGAGTAATCATAGAAGCTACCAGGGCTGAGATCATGACAAATGTTTTTCAAAAGTACATTTTCAAAAATCACTTTAAAGAAGTTTTCTTTGCTTGCAACAATATTCAACTCTGCATCAACATGGCTGAAACTAAATGTGCATTACATGAACTTTGAAATAGTTTCTTAGGCAAAACTGTAGGTGTAACAAATGAAATTGCTGTAAGAGAGCAATTCTTAGCCGTATTTGTACCATGCAAATCCTCATATGAAACTGATTTAGTACTATATCAGCACAGGACACCAGACCCCTGTCTAGAACCACCCATGTCAAAGTGTCAAAAAATATTAAGCAAACAGATTGTTTTAGTGCATAAAGCAATATACCAAAAAAACTGAGGATTAGTCTTATTAAACTGTGTTTTTTATTATATGTCCTTTAGCATGTGTGAGAGAAACAGAGAGATCCACCACACATCTGTGATGCAGGAGCAGGAAAGGAGCCCGAGAGGAGATGGAGGAGGTGCAGAGGGAGCCCGGAGTCAGATGCCTGTTTCTAGCGTCGGAGAGGACAGAGCTATCTTGTTGGGTTTCACCATGATGGCTTTCTCTGTGCTCATGTTCTTCGTAGTCGGCATTACCACAGTCAAGCCTTACATTGACAGGTACCCTGGTATACACATCCGAGCTGTCAGTAGGGCTGAAAAATTACATCTTTTTTTTAAACATGCGCCGCCGGTGTGGGCCTTTCTCTGCTCTTCTGCTGGAGTAAAAATAAAGCCTAACAATACTCTGCTTTATCCATTGTCTTTTATGCTTTGTTTGCTTTATGATGAAATACGATGCTGTCAAACTGTAGAATCTAACTTTAAACTAAATAGCAAAGCACTAATAGCTGGAATACTTTCAGTGTAGATATAAGGTTTTCTTGCAAAGTGTCCGGGCCTTACTTATAGAATCAAAACTAAGGCTTATTAGGGCTTGCAACTCTTTGAGATTTTACATCAACATGCCAATAATTACTCTGTAGAAAATATCCAAAACCTGGGCTAATTTTTCTCATTTGGGTTTCTATATCTGCTTTACTGGACCACAGGAAAAGAACCCATGGAGTTAGAGATAAAACATGCAAACTACAAGTAAAACCCCTGCTTCCTGGCAGGAAAGGAAACCATGGACACTATGGCTGGGAGATATAACTACTACACTCCATCTTCCATGTCTTTAAAGTGTAACCCACCCTTATATAAAAATAAAAAGAAATGGTCCCCAAAACAAAATTTGAAAAAAAGGCATCAAAGTGACCCTAAGAGACCCTACAAGGGGTTTACCTTGCCCAGCTTAGCTTCGCCTTAGTAAACTACAGACAGGTAGCAAAGAGATGCTGGTTGTCACCCCACTATCATGGGGCGACAGTGGCGTTGGATGTAGGAGTTTGCCCTGAAATCAAAGGGTTGACGGTTCAAGCCCTGACTCTGACTTTCAGTGTCGTTGTGTCCTTGGGCAAGACACTTCACCTCTACTGATGGTGGTCAGAGGGCCCAGTGGTGGCAGTGTACGGCAGCCCCACTTCTGTCAGTGAGCCCCAGGGCAGCTGTGGCTACAATGTAGCTTGCCACCATCAGTGTGTGCGTGAATGAATGTAGTGTAAAGTGCTTTGTTCAAGTCTCCTAACTTGAATAAAGGTGCTATATAAGTACATGCCATTTACCATTTTACTATCAGATATTTGAAGTGGAGGATTTTGTATCCCCTTCATCACTGGAGGTTGAGAGGCTTTATGGAGCCCAGTGGGTCAAAGACTCATCAATGTAAGGCGCTTGCTTCAGAAAATTATTTAGCAACCTCCATGTTGACCGTTTGATCCTTAGGAGAGCATTGAGCTGGTTTTAAGATAAGCATTACCACCCACAGAATCAGTTTAACTGCAGAAAAAGTTGATAATAGGATAACTTACTCTTTAAAAGCAAAGCTGATTGATCATGGAAAAGAAACTGCAAGTTTGTGCTCAACAAGATGCAACCCCAACCTAAAACCTGGTTTGAATTAATCCAATATTTAGGGTAGCTCTTTGAAGGGGATTAGACCTGTACTATGACTTTACTTCCTCTGGTTGCCTTCAAAGGCTTACCAATTAAATCATGGAGCATTGTTTGCTAATTTATCTATAGCAAACAATGCTATAGATGAATTAGTCACATCATACATTCAGGGTATCACACCTGACATCCTAACCGCCATTACTACAACTGTGCAGTATCGACTAGTTCCAACTGTGTATAGATAGGTATACTGTAAAATTCATCCTGATGCCAAAGTCTTGTGTTGCTCATATTTGGGAGTTAGATAAACCATTTTTATTGGCTTGGTTGAAATGTTTACTAAGGATTGGCGAAAATAGCAAAACCTAGCATCCAAAGTCAAATGGATCTACAAGTGTAGCATATATATATTGTGTTTTTAAGTCTAAAAATTAGGTGATGAGGAAGTATCATGAATTTACCACAGTTTTAGTGAAGGAGACAGCAGAGACAAGGCTTTTTTTCAATCAAAATAGAAAAAAGAGAAAATAATCTTGACAAAGGATGAAGTGGGGAGAAGGGTTGTGTGTTTTAAAATCACTTGGCAGCAGGTGAAAATTAAGCCTAAAAATATTGATCTACTAGATAGGACCTGCTCATCATTTCATGGGGTTCCTCCCACTGATCTCTATTCATTCACTGGATTGCCCATTGGTAGTACGGGGTTAAAGTGAAGCCATCGGCTGCCATATTGCTACTACCTAGTTAGACCGGTTGCACACTTTGTGTCCTTTGCAGTTGTAGCACTTTTGCTCTGTCTTTTAAATCCATTCTCCATTTTCTTTTTCAAATTCTGAGTAGTGGGTCCAGGAATTGAATCTGAGTTTGTTAAACCTAATCACTGAAATGGACCCTAGAGTCTTTGGCCAACCTAACGTTAAACCTTCCTTCTGATTGTCCTTCAGTCGTTGGGAGGAGTCTAGCTGTGTCCTGCCTCAGAGTAATATTCTGGAGGAGTGGGTGGACTGCAGAGGGGTGAGCACTGTGCCCTGCCTGACGGTGACAGTCAACATCGCCGGCTCCAATCAGTCTGCCTTTCTCCAGCTGGATGAGGACTCAGTCTTTCTTCCAAATGAGGTAAGAATTCTTACTTGTTGAAACAATGTCCTGTTCATAATTGTCGAGGTTTGGTTGAGGTTTTGAGGACCCAAATGGAGAGGTGAGGAGGCAGAGGTGAGTTCTTGTAGTTTTAATTGAGTTCTCACAGGCAACAGAGGCGAAGGGAGAGTATTTATGGGAGACTGAACAAAGACAGGACTAATGAGCTGATTGGGAGCAGGTGTGAACAGAGGCTTCGACAAGGAGCTAGGGAAAAGGAGACAAACACCAGAGGGCAACGTAGGGCAAGCAAAGAAAAAGCTAAGAACTCAAATATATCAAGAAAACGCCAATAAAGCTAGAAAACAAAGAAAAACATGGATCAATGTGAAACTGAAAACTCAAAGAAAACTTAAAGGAATAGTACACCCAAAACATGATTAGCCTTCATTTTCTACTCACCCCCATGCTGAACAAC